TTATATAGTTCTTCTGAAATAAAGTTAAGTGGTTGCGTAACTTGGAAATAATTATTACCAGAAATTTGTGGTGCATTGGTAGCAGAATAGGTTTGTCTTGTCGTTGTAGACATTGGGGAAGGTCTAGGAATTTTTTTGTTTTGACCTGGTTTAAATACATTGGTCTGATTTTTATTTTTGAAGACCGGTGAGTTAGTTGAGAATTTTTGTTGTGTTTTATTATAATCATGTCTCACATGAATAGGTTGAGATGGAAATTTTTGTTGAGTGGACGTGTTATTTGGTGTATTGGCATTAAATGTTTTGGAATTATTGTATCTTTGTTGTGTATTTTGTTTGAAGTGCTGTGAGGGATGTTTTTGTTGAGTTTTAGCTATATTCTGAAAATATTGTGTATCATATTCCTGTGTGACAAACTGTAAAGCTTCGGGAAGGTCTTTGGGCCGCATACACCTAACTGTTGTTCCCAATGGTTCCCTTAAGCCTGATAAGAAAGTTTTAAGGGCGAGATCATTATATAAATTTCGCTTTAAATTTTTCGCATTTTGATTAACTTCATGACTATTTACATTAGTACAAAGCAGGTTTAAAATATGCATAACCCTGTCATAATACTGACTAGGCTTTTCTGAGTTTTGTTGTCTCAACATTACAAGATCTCTGTTTAAACCTGTTTATGCCTCGTCTCTTTGATCTGCGAAATGCCTGATCAAAGTTAGTTTCAAATTATCCCAAGTAGTAACATTTTCTGTACCTAGGATCAATTTTGCGTTCCCAGTTTTCCGATGATACAATTTATCAAGTAAATATTTTGAAAATGGTTTGGTTGATTTGCATCATAGAAATTATCAATTAGACTTAGGCATACTGCCAAATATCTATTCAGATCGGTAGGGTTACCATCCAATTGTGGTACGCAATTTAAGTACTCAGGTTCAAATTGAGCCATATTGTTAATCGTATTAATATTATTTGAACTTAAATTATTTTGACTAGTGCTTGTATCAGTAACTGCAGCACTGTTATTTAATGTTTGATTAATATTTCTTATGAACTATTCTGTATCAGAAGGTGAGTCAGTTGAAGATAGAGATAGAGATAAAATTCTTTCTGTTAATTCGTCAATATCAGACATTAAAGAAATTACAAATTGCACATTGCACTCACATGAAGATTATTCCGTAGAGCAACATTCATAAGGCCAAGAATTCCTGGTAGGCTATGTTTTTCCTTCGATCCAAATTAATCCTGGTCTCGCGAATATTGGTTATTTTGGTCCAATAATCCGATTGCTTGAAGGCAGTTCTTTGGTTTTCGATTTCGTAAAGCCACTCCGACACTTCTCGCAAACACTTAATACGATTTTCACACAAGGGTGTAGATTCGAGTTCCCGGTTAGGCCGATTGCCGAAAAGTTCGTAAACCAGTTCCAAAAACAAAAAATCCGGACGACTGCGCCAGTTATCAATACGTAGGCCGATAACAAGATTTTAAAAAACAATTTATTCACTAAATTACAATAATGAAATACTTCGCGTTGCGCGTTACAATGTTTCAAATAAGAAAAATAGCTATTTACCTAACAAGCGCGGAATAGTTATTTATGTATCAAGGGTACTAAGTAGATGATTATGCCCTGAGGGCGACAGCCTTACAAAGCCGAGGGCCTCTGGCCCGAAGGTTCGTAATCGTAAGTCGCCCGAGGCTATATATCTATTAGTACCCGTGGTGCATACAAACTTTTATGTCATACCAGGGGGACTTCATTTGAAATCGATGCAACTTTGCATACACGCGAACGACGACATGTGCGGCGTAATTGTCAACCTGATGTTTAGAATGGTACATTATGCCCGCGCGGGTCAGAATGTGTACTTTATGCCCGCATGGGCATAAAGTGATGAATTATGTAGATGGTATCTAAGGTATAAAAAGGCAATAATGTACTGGTATGACATAATAGCTATTTATGTACCAAGGGGATTATGTAGATTATAATGCCCGAAGGCGAAACTAGCCCGAGGGCCTATGGCCCGAGGGATATATTTCGCCTGAAGGGCATTATAATCTTGAAATCCCCGTGGTGCATACAATGCTTTATTTTCTACTCAACACAATGTTTTTTCATCAATTTGTACTTAACAAAATCAGTTAAACTTGTGTGACAAAATATTGTTTTGTATTTTGACATGTACCTGTACCTGTGACCTGTACCTGTACCTGCGACCTGTACATAGAAACGAAATAAATTAATATATCTATAAACATCTCATAAGGCAAGGCAACGGTGGTGGTCCTGTGGGTTAACGCGCTGGGCTACATGGGAAACATTGATGGTAGACCGGGTTCGAATCCTGGCTAGACCGAAAATTATTTTCGGTCAGACATTTAGTGGCTGCCTAGGGTAAAGTGCAAATTAATAGAACAACAACAACAAAAACACCTTAAGGTATTATAAGCGGGCGTTATAGATCATAACGCCCGCAAAAGCGGGCTTTATGGATCAGGTTGTTATAGGTGTGTTAACGTATTTCGTTTCCTAGGTATTATGGATCTATAATAGTAAAGTAGAAAATAAAAAAAATTAAGACTTTGTAGCGTTTGAAGCTACTTGGTATTTAGTTGTAAATTTTTATTTAAAAATGGGAACAGCAGGTTGTACGGGACTGCTCATGACGTAGCTTAACTGTTGAAACGTATCTTTACCAGACAACTTCTTCCAGTTTACTGTGTTTACTGTGTATTATTATTATTATTGTTATTTTGTAAGATTATTGAGCGGCAATATCTACAATGTTACAGCTTAAGGCTATCTTTGAGGACTTTGAGGTTTAGTAATAAGATTTAAATAATTTTAAGTTAGTTAATGTTGTATACAGGCCCTTAGGTTGGTATGTTGCTAAATCCATGACCGTAGCTAACTTCTCAGGATTCTTTTTAATGTCATGTCATTCCTTTCTGTCGTTCTGTGAAGGGAATCAAAATCAAACGGTACAGTCGTACTGGTCCGTCAAAATAATAATTTTGTCCCTCGTGCCTTCAGAAAGTCAAATTTTCTCGAGTTACCTCGACTTTTACCTTTAAATGAGTAAAGTTAAAACGCTCATAGTGGCCTAGTGCTAGTGGAAATGTTTTGCCTTGTGTTTTCGAGAAAATTCCATAACGTCATTTGAGACTATCGCCGGTAAGTTTGGTTTTGCAAATTTATCTAAGGCATCCTGCCTAATTTAACCTTGTAGAGTCCGTGTCAGCAGTAAAGACTACGGTGACAACAGGAAAAGCTGCGCGAAGCGGGTCCGATCTCTCTCCTTCGTCTATCTCTCGCTGTCTGCCGTGACCTCGGCCGTGAGCTGAAACCAGGGGGCGGATTACGAACTCTCGATTCGAACCGAAACCGCCAAGGATTTCGAACGCACTCTATGCAAATGCATCAGAATGCGTTCGAAATCCATGGCGGTTTCGGTTCGAATCGAGAGTTCGTAATCCGGCCCCAGTGGCCCAATTCTTGAAAAATATCGCATACGAAATTTGATTCGAATTTGACTGACAGCAATGTTAATTAAATGGGAAGTGTTCGAAATCATTTCAAATTTCGTATGCGATATTTTTCAAGAATTGGGGTCCAGCAGCGGGGTATCTTTTTAGACAAAACGGATAGCAAATAAACTAAATAAATATGCCTGCTGGCCGTATGACAATGAACCACGTGCTTGGCGTTCGGCAGCAGCACCGAACAATACGATAGTTCGGTTAGTCTTCAAAATTGGGTTTGTGCGCAATTGACGTCACCGTACTCTTTACTCTTGACGCGGACTCTATTATAGCTTAAAGTGCATTTGGACGGCCTGGGAGATACCCTCTATCAATATTTTCGTGGTTCAGCCACTCATTTTGTGTCCAGATCCTTGATTTTCAAGATAAGCTTGCTTCGGCTATGATATTCCTTTAAATCACCATGCAAGGGTTGCTGTAAAATATAAATGTAATTATTAGGATCGATCTACCGAGGGGCCCCAACTTTAGTGGTGCCAGTCGCCGAAAACCACAACACTTTGCCTACGTGAGTATGCAGCTCGCAGCCTCCCGCACCTTATTGCATTTCTTCAAGGTGGCTCTTGTGAGGGTTTTTTAATTGAACTCACCCTAGCTCAATTCGCAGAACATTGATCTAGTATCCTGAAGGACAGGGATTGAACAGGTTTTTTTTATATTTATAAGTTTAACTTTATATCTTGAAATCCTTGGATTTAAGTAATAAACTTTGGTCCTGATCAGGCCAAGGGTTATTTTGTACTGTTACATTGCACAGGGTGCAATGAATTATTAGAGAAATTTCAGCTCTTTTTTAGTTATAAGGATTTGGGGAAAATTTTAGCTTTTTAGGTTCTAGAGATTTATCGAGGGATATTTTTTTGCACTCGGGCTTTAAAAAACATCAAAGCTTCAATTTAATAAATAAAAATGCACTTATTTTTGTTTATTAAATTGAAGCTTGACAATTATTTCTGGATTACCTCTTTCTCAGATTTAAGTCTAAGAGCCAGCGCCGAAAAAAATGGACAGTTGATTACAGTATTTACGTACATAAACATACCGCTGTCAGTCAAGCGAAACTTGGGAAAAGGACCCAGGGTGTCTTGTTAGAGGTGTCGAGATAACTTGGGTAGTGCAACGAATTCACTAAAGCTGAAAATCGTTATACATAATCAGGCCTATGATGTATCTTTTCCCGTTAAATTTAACGGTTCCTGTTAAATAACATAACAGGTGAAAATTAACAGTACTGCTAACGTACCGATTCGAAATTTGAATGATGTAACTACTTGACAATACGTTACGTTATTTAGTACGTTAAAAATAATTGTAGCTGACGCCAGACGTTAAACAAGATTTTTTTCATTAATTATTTGTACCTAACCGTGATTTTTTTATCTCAATTTTGTCATTTTGACGCAAGTTTCAAGTTTTTGTGAATCGTGAAAATTTCACTCAAAGAAATAATGGCGAAACGACTACCAAAAACCACTCACGTTCAATATGAGGAGCTGCTTCAATTCATTAAAAATAATAGAATAATTTTATCTGGGAAAACCAAACCTCTGGAAGGAAAAAAAATTAACATTTTATGGGAACAGTTTGCTGCCGAAATAAACAGCAAAGGTTGCGGACCCTTAAAAACTGCTGAACAGTGGAGAAATGTAAGTACATATACCTTTTTTATTTAATTTTTTTTGATAAACACTAAACGATTGATAAAATCTTCTTTAATATAGTGTATAACACACTCATACGTAACATATACAGAGATTTTGGTTTTGCAGATTTGGAACGAATGGAAGACTAATACAAAACGTAAAAGTAGAGCCATTCAACAGTCCCTAATAGGAACAGGTGGCGGTCCTCCAACTTCGAAAGCCCTTACGGATTTGGAGAGACAATTGTTAGAGCTCATATCCTTTATTCATTTAGGCGATCCTGATGTGATGGACACCTTGACTATAAAGAAATCTTCAGAGGAACCAATATCGGTAATTGTTTAGTATATCTCCAACGCACAATTTGGACTAAATTTTGTACAATATGATTAAATTAGTGTCTAAATAGATAATTTCTACTAAAATAATTTGGCGCAAATGATTTATAAATCTAAAAAAAATACGTTTATATAAAATATACGTTGGGGATTGATAAAATTATTACCCCTAACTAAATATTTAGTATATCCCCAATACCTAACATTGACATAATTTCGAGGACTAGAACGCATTACGGGGACAGGTTAATTTGGGTTAGTTTGCAACAGTTTGATTAACGGGCTAGCTCATAAAGAGATTATTTACTGCTAGAGATAGAGCTCAGGAAAGAGCTGTTTACAATTCAAGATATCATAAAAAAAATTTAGCAGCAATTTCTTCATAAAGTCATAGTGAGCTTTGTACTGACGTTGGGTTGCCTGAAGCGGTTTGAAACAAATCAGATGAGTTAGTGGTTTCTCATCAGTTTGGTTTGAATGTATTTCTTTTTGAAAATTATGGATTGTGTTGGTTGTAACGTAGGCAGGGATTGGTTTTTAAATCGTTTTGCATGAAATAACGTCAATGTTAGGTGTTGGGGATATACTAAATATTGAGTTAGCGGTAATTATTTAATAAATCTCCAATATATATTTTATATCTACATTTTTTTTTTCTTTAATAAATCTTTTGCACCAAATAATTTAAGGTGGAACTATCTATTTAAATACTAATTTAATTATATTGTACAAAATTAATTCAAAGTTAGGTGTTGGGGATGTATGAAACTGTTACTCAGGGGTAATTATTTAATAAATCCCCAACATATATTTTATATAAATATATTTTTTTTTAATAATTAAATTATAAACCATTTTCGCCAAATAGTTTTAGTTGAAGTTATCTATCTAGACACTTACTCAATCATATTTTACAAAATGTATTCAACTTTAGGTGTTGGGGATATATGAAAATGTTACCCCAATAGCAAACCAAGTCGATGAAGATCTTGTAACATTGCATGAAACTGAAACACCCAAAAAAAATGTAGAAAATATCAATGGTCTAGAACCTTTGCAACATGAGAATCAACCAGTAATAGACACGATCTTGGAAACGCCAAGAAAAAAAAAGAAAATAAATACTCAGGACACAAGATATTCAAATAGTATTCTATCAAATGCATGTGAGAGTTATGCCGAGGCACAAAAAAACACCTTGGAGTCAAAAAAATTGGAAGCTTCAGGGTTAATTCAAATAAGCAAAGCTTTGGAAAAAAATGCCGCTGCCTTAGAAGAAAAAAATAGAATAGAGTTGATGAAACTAAAATTGGAATATCTTAAACATTTTACAAATTTGGATAATTTTTCAGAACTTGAAAATTAGTTTTTGGTTTTCCAGTATTCTCTACATAGATATGTATTTTTTGTTAGCAACTATGGATATGAAAATAAACTATAAAAAATTCAAATTTTAATAATTTTTTGTAACATTGTTAATAGTTGAATTGAATTTCCTCAATTAGTAAAATACATCCTAACTATCCTTTCTCTAAGACGTCTTCCTTCAGCTAAATTTTGTGGTCCTGAAAAGAAATTAAATTACATTAAGTTCATTTAAATTATTGATAATACAAGTTTGTTCCAAATTACACAGTGCTTTAAATCCATAGACTGCCAAGTGCCAAATAAGAAATAATTATAAAATATACGCACGATGGCAATTATTATTATCTACTAAATTTATTCCATCTGGCTCATCTAAACAATTTGGCTCATCCATATCTTCCGGTTCTTGTACTCTAGCTTTGATACACATGTTATGAAACACTGCTCCATTAATTATTAATTTTCCTACTTTCTCCGGCGAATAGTGCAAAGTTCTGTGTTTTAAAAAGCACCGGAAACGTGACTTAAACAGTCCATTCGTTCTTTCAATAGTTTTTCTGCCTCTTATATGGGCTCTTGTGTATTGCCATTCTGGTGTATTTTCCACAGCATTGTCAATGGGTGTGAGAAGCCAAGGCTCTAGTGGGTAACCTGAGTCTCCTAAAACATAGCTCATTTACTCCTATAATAGTACGGGATACGAGGCATATTTCATCAAATCATTTTACACCGTCTTGCATTGTTATCATCAGTTAGATAACATGATGCTGAAACGCACTTGCGCAGTGAACTATATGGGACTGGGGAATTTAGCTGATAAAAATGTTCGAGAAAATGTCGTCATAATCGAGGAAAATATACAATTTCACACCGTCTTGCATTTACTTATTAAGTTAATTTGTACACAAACAAAATTGGAATAACCTATGCAAGACATATTCCTGGGGGTTTTCGGGTTGTAATATTAGATAGAAATTGTCAATTTTCCAGAGGGGTGAAATATCATTTCACACCACTCAATTGTTGATTTAGATTAAAGCTTGAATGTAGAATAGCCATTGGATACTGATGCAAGACGCACTGTGAAGGGATAATGGGCTGCAAGACAGAGGTCAATGTGTTGTCTTATGAGGGAGGGAGAAATCATTTTACACCGTCTTGCACTGGTACTTATGGGAAAAATAGAACACATTGATAACATTTTTAAAAATACAAGACATTCTAAATGGGAAGAAAGGACTGCAAGACGATGATGAAGTTGACTAATTTTGACGGGGGTCAATCCATCAGGTACAAAGGTGAATACTACTTCAAATTACAAATTATACACATTAATTTTAAATAGTTTTGCTCTTCACCACGTAGAATAATTCTATTTTGCGAAATTCTCCTAATAATATGTATATATGAATGTTTCTACGGACATCAAATAAAAAAAGATTGAAAATTGTTTTATTTTTGACGGCTTTTAATCATTTAGGTGCTCTTTGAGGTGGATATCCCATGACACATAACATGTTTTGTGCACATAACAGATTGTAAGCATTAAATTTGAAGAATTTCATTTTAAAGCAGCAAAAAAATGTGAAAATGACACAACAAATGATCTGTCTGAAATTGTAAACAAAAATTATAATTCCTGTATTCAACAGACTCCCCTGTTGAGCTGCTATGTCAACTGTCCTTTTTCATCTGTATGATTTAAAAAAGAATAAACATTAAACGGTTCAGTAAATAACTCAACAGTTCAGTCAAAAAATTAAAATGGATTTTTGAACTTTTTTCCCAGATAAAACGTCTTGGACTGATGTAATACCATTTCTTAACATAGATTCTTTCGGCCGACATAAGCATGAAGTGGTGTAAAATAATTTTTCACTCCCTCATGAGACAACACATTGACATCCGTCTTGCAGCCCGTTATCCCTCTACAGGACATCTTGTATCAGTATCCAGTGGCTATTCTACATTCAAGCTTTGATATAAATCAACAATGGAGTGGTGTAAAATGATATTTCACCCCTCTCAAAAATTGACAATTTCCATCTTATATTACAACCCCAAAACCCCCATGAAAACGTCTTGCATGTGTTAATCCAATTTTGTTTATGTACAAATTAACTCAATAAATAAATGCAAGACGGTGTATAATTAAATATTTTCCTCGTTTATGATGACATTTTCTGAAACATTTTTTTCAGCGAAATCCCCCACTCCCATCTATTTCCCTGCACAAGTGCGTTTCAGTACCATGTTATCTAACTGATGATAACAATGCAAGACGGTGTAAAATGATTTGATGAAATAGGCCTCGTATCCCGTACTATAACGATATAACATATATCTTAGAAGCGACAGAAGCACCATACTTACCTATAAGCCAAGAGTTGTTAAGATCATGTCTTATATATTTATCTTCGAGTATAACTCTTACTGGACTTAATGCCCATATACCCGAATCGTGGACTGCTCCCGGATATCTGGCATTACAGTTTAAAATTAGAAGGTCTGAGTCACAAATCTAAAAGTGGAGTTAGTGAAATTATACAAAGATTATTTTTCTACTTACTAATTGCACATTAATACTATAGTATCCTTTTCGGTTGTAATATGCAATCGCAGGACGGACCCGATCATTAGTTTTAGGAGCCACAATGGCAACATGTGTACAATCTATTGCTCCAATAATTCCTGGGCAGTTAAATTTATTGTGGAATCTGAAATAAATTTAAAGCAGTTTTATGCAAACCTATTTATAAAAAAAATAGCCTGATACAAATTGATTTTATATTCTGTTTCTGCATTATTCGCTCGATAGGCACTTACCCTTGTTTTATTTTATTGAAATCTTCCATAGTTTCTGGAAACTTAATCCACAGAGGCGCTAAATGTATCATTACTGCTTCCGATACCTCATCAATCACTTTACTAACTGTAGATTGCTCTAAAACTAAATTAAAGTTATTGCCAACACACTTTTGGTAACTTCCATGACCCAAAAATGCTAGAAGTGTTAAAACCTAGAATTAAAGCTTGGTCCTTGATCAGGCCTAGGCAAATATATTTTATCACTTATACATACCTTAAATTCCGGCTGTACTCCGGTATTCCTTTGAGGAATTCTCAAGAAAGGTCTTAGAAAATCTATAACGTATCGGGATATTTCTCGGGAAACTCGAAAGTTTTTTATGAAAATATTTTCTGGGAGTTCAAAAGGGTTGTTTTGGTCTCTTAGTCTCCTCCTTTGAATATTTTGTTGTAATCTATGTTAATTTTTAATGCAAATCCAAATGGTTGGTTTTGAACGTCAAATTAAACTTACCTTTGTTCAACATTTTCCAGACTTTCGATTAAGAAAATATTTTTAAGTTCAGCTAAATCCATTTTAATTAAATTGATTTATCAAAATCGAGAATTGTCAAATTACTAATAACATTAAAAAAATGCTTCAACGGCATGTTAAATGGTCGTGTTATTTTTCTACGTTGTATGTTAAGATTAACAGAAAAAAAATAACGCACCTGTTAATCAATTTTGATACATCATACCAAAAAGGAAATTATATATAACAGGTATGCGTTAAATATAGCTATTTATGTACCAAGGGGATTATGTAGATTATAATGCCCGAAGGCGAAACTAGCCCGAGGGCCTATGGCCCGAGGGATATATTTCGCCTGAAGGGCATTATAATCTTGAAATCCCCGTGGTGCATACAATGCTTTATTTTCTACTCAACACAATGTTTTTTCATCAATTTGTTATTAACAAAATCAGTTAAACTTGTGTGACAGAATATTTTTTTGTATTTTGACATGTACCTGTACCTGTGACCTGTACCTGTACCTGCGACCTGTACATAGAAACGAAATACATTAATATATCTATAAACATCTCATAAGGCAAGGCAACGGTGGTGGTCCTGTGGGTTAACGCGCTGGACTACATGGGAAACATTGATGGTAGACCGGGTTCGAATCCTGGCTAGACCGAAAATTATTTTCGGTCAGACATTTAGTGGCTGCCTAGGGTAAAGTGCAAATTAATAGAACAACAACAACAAAAACACCTTAAGGTATTATAAGCGGGCGTTATAGATCATAACGCCCGCAAAAGCGGGCGTTATGGATCAGGTTGTTATAGGTGTGTTAACGTATTTCGTTTCCTAGGTATTATGGATCTATAATAGTAAAGTAGAAAATAAACACCTTAACGTATACGTTATCCGTACCTGTTAAGATACATAATAGGCCTGATATAACATATAAATAACAGTAGTGTTAGTCAGTCAGTTGAATAGCGGGACCGTCAGTCAGTCAGCCGCAATAAATGTAAAAATCTGCAAAAAATATTAATATTACTTAACAAACCTATTAATTTAAACTTCAACCTACAATTTTGAATTGTCACTGTCACGCTGTCACTCTAAAAAAAAATAGACCTATTATTTTTTTACATAAATTGGGACTGAACCGGCTGAACTAACTCAATGGGGCTGAATGACCGGCCTAGTTCCGTTACTCAACTGACTGACAAACATCACTGTTATTTATGTGTTATATGTAATAGTCCTTGGGCTCAGATCTAAATGTATTATTTATGACCACACCGTCGAAACTTTTCGTATTTGCTATTTGGGTGGAGTCGGACAAATTTTGAGCTCAGCGCATTATGGTAGTGGGGAGTTTGTCTGTCAAGCTGTCACGAAGTTGTCGATTTTATGCAAGAAAAAAATGTATGACCACATTGGTAATTTTTTTTTAATCAATAGTTTTTATCACATAAACAACGAAAAAAAATGTGTCGGACAAAAATATTGGGGCATTCGACGGGTCGGACACGTTGAATATGTCAAATTTATGGGGAAAAAAATTATTACCACACGGCTGATTTGAACAGAATCTGCCATAAAAATATTTTACAATGTCAATAACGTGGTAACCTTGTCGGACAATTTTCACGGGGCATATGCGCAGTCGGATGCGTCAAAGATGTCAA